GTGATCCTCCTGTTTACAGCCTCCCAGGTGCTGGGATTACAGGTGTGTGCCACCATGCCCAGTCTCAATCCCATCTCAGCATGCCCCAGGGGTGGGACCAGCATGGCAGGCTCAGAGATTGAACTCCTGGCCCCTGCGTTTAAGCAGATGCTTTAATCCTTCAATCCACTGAGCTATTTGGCTGGCCCTTTCATCCCTTATTTTCTAGAATGACTCTTTAGGTCTGCCTCTTTATACTTTATCACTATCAGCTCCTTCACTAATCCACTGTACTCTTTTTCTTTGTATTTGGCATTTAAAATTCTTTTCAAATGACATTCATTAAATTTCATGTTTACTTTGAAGGGGATACTTGTCCTCTTGGTGCAATTATATTAAGAAAGCAATTAAAAACTAGGCTCTCACTTGTTTCTTTCCATTCCAATTCATAGATTCCAACTTCAATGGACTCTTCCTCCCTAATGGCATCTGGATCCACAGTTTATATTCATCAACATATAAAGACCAACAATCTTTCCATTCCACCCCCAGGACATAAGGTATTTTTGAGCTTGTATTGTTTTTGTGTAGTGTTGTTTGCCCATAGAAAAAAATCTACTTCTAACATATTCACCATCATAAAAGATATAGAACTGTGTCTATCTGGTGCAGACCTTTATAAACTTCTGTTTTTAAAGCTCAGCTGGGTTCTTATATCTATTTAAGAACTTTTTCTTGATTAATTTCTTTTAACAAACTTTTTATTCATTCATTTCTCATTCAACAAACTCAAGTGTGATTAGTGCTGGAGGTAAGCAATCCAGCCTGGTGATTTTAGGGATGACTTAGCAGACAACTGCTACCTAAGTTAAAAAAGATTGAAAAATAGCCACTCATCAGAATGAGGATCCACCAGATACCCCTGAAAACCATATATAAACAGAGGAAGAAGGACCAAGCACCATAGGAATTCAAAGAAGAGAAAAGTTCAGGCATAGAAGTTTTCAGAGCTGTTTCAATCACTTTCTGTTTGCTAGGACACAATACCTGACTCCTCCAATTTAAAAGAAGGGTTTATTTTACCTGGCAGTTTGTAGAGGTTTCAATCTGTAGCTGGTTAGCTCCAACCCATAAGGGCCTGGCAGAGGAAAAACTACTCACAACATGGTAGTCAGAAAGCAGTGTGAGAAGGGAGGAGCCATGGGAGAGATGCCCCTTGTGAGCCACAGCTAGGGCCCCACCCCTTCCAACCAGACCCCATGTCTTCTGAGCAGGCCCCACCTAATAAGTGTGAGAAGGGAGGAGCCTGTAAGAAGAGTAATTCTTCAGGCCATGCCCAGACTAGGCCCTGCCTCTTCCCAGCAGGCCTCATTTCCTAACTGAAGGGAGAAGCCAAGAGGCAAAGGCACCCTATAGGCCATGCCTCTTCCAACAAGGCCCACCCTTGCTAATTTCATGTGAATCCAGTGACCCAGTCTTTATCTTTGGAAGGCTCCCAGTGAGCACAGGGGCTTGGGACACCTAGGTAGAAACTAGAATAGGGATACTATGTCCTGAATAATGAGAAGAATTTCAACTAGTGAATGTATAGAGGATGTACGTTTGGCATTATAGGCAAAGAAATGGCTTGAAGAAATAAACAGAAACAGGAATACTAAGGTGGATGAGTTTATTTTTTATTTTTAAGGACATTTTATTGTAATTTAATTTCCACAATAAGAGCTCTTGATGCTGTCTCAACTGGTACTGTAGATTTATTTTATTTTTTTACATTAATTTTATTGAGAAAGAAGTAGCAATGGGGCAGTTTCAAAACAGGTCAGTAGGACAGTTACAATAATTAATACATTGGATATTGTCTTTTTTTGACATCAGTTATTTTTATTTTAAAGAAAAAAAACAATGGTACAAAATCGCAGAACAAGATTTTAGGAGAGTAACAATGGTTAGTACATTGTGTATTGTTACTGCCAAAGTAGTTTCTCATATTACAAGATATAGGCAAGAAATAATAAATAAACAACATAGGTACAAACTTCTGTTTTTTTTAAGACAACAG